CCCAAACGAGTAGTATGTCCTAGAAGGAAATTTGAGCCTATAATCGAGACGCGCGAGAGGTTACTGATTGGCCAGCAAAGCTGGCGGAGGTAATGATGGCCGTCGAGGACAACGATGTCGACGTTGATCAGAACATGTTCATCAACGTTTGGCTTCGTCATCACTCTTTCCACCATCACTACTGACCACCTTAGGAATCAGAATCGCCGCTATCGACGAGCCACGTCAATTTATTGAAAAAAGAAGGGGTATACAGTGAGAATCTCGTCTGTCTTAACGGACCCTCTGTGCTGAACAACTAGAGTAGCATCCCGACTTTTTTTTTTTTTTTTTTTTTTTTTCGACAGGCCTCAAAGCTACTTAGAAACACCTTGTCGTTGGGATGGTATTCGTTCGGGATGCAGTTGTGGATAGGATCGTAAAACTAGCAGACGCGGTGTACGTTTTGAAGGTGCATTAGCCCCCAGCTCGTTCCTACCAACATTGACTAACCTCCGTCTTCAGAGGCGCGAATATGACACAACGGCGGGCGCTGTGGGATGCCGTTTTCGACGCCTTGTTAAACTTTTCAGCGTAAACCCCCCGTTTCCTGCACACCCTGTCGCCCTTGTCCCAATATTGCATACACGACGACCACGTTGCACCCATACCCGCCCCTTGTGAGTCCGGGTGGTTTCGCCGAGGTATGCCCTCTTTCATTCATAGGATAAGCCTGACCCCACGTTCCGATGAGTAGGAAATGACCGTGACGATAGCGCATCTTTCGAATGGCGGCACGACTTCATTGTCATTCAACTATCTACCTCATTCCTACCTAGCCTCCTTCCCTCCGGTGCCCTCTTCTGCCATCGGCCCCTTGGGGTTTTCTATCCCCATGCGGGAAGCTGCCCTTCGCTTTTCTAAGGGTGTATACTCGGCACCGGTCTTGATACGACGTCTTGACGTCGAACCAATGTGATCTCAAGCTTAAAGCCAATGTCGTCTCCAAGTTGTGTTTATCTGCTCATGATACCAACCGACATGCTCCTCGATTGTTACTTTAGTTTTGAAGCTGTCGCAAATCGGGTTCCCTTCAGTGATTCAGCACTTCGCGTAACACTCCCCTCAGTATGGTTATGAATCCCCACCCCTTGACAGTCTGCTGATTGAAACTCTAGTTGCTGCATCATGCTGACGATCACATCCCATGAATGTCGGGTGGATTTACGTTTCGATCAAACTACCTCACTGCTTCTCAGCGTCTTCCACTATGACATTAGCACCTTGGCCTTACGCAAAAGTGCAATCCTCGCCTTGCGTAGACTAAAACGTCTTTTCATTTTCCAGTGTGAATCTTTTGGCCACGCTCGTAAGTCTTGTCATTGAATACCCAGTCTACAGTGAACAGTAGTCTCCCGTAGGCAACTCCTTTGTTGCGGGTGATGATAGTCGATCT